AATGTTTTAACTACCATCACAGAAATGGATACCAGAAGCAGATGCACGACAGAGGAAGAAGTAATTAAATATGGGAATGAGTGGTTCAGGCAAGGTTTCCTGCTGGAGGTGCCACTGAAGCAGAATTTTAAGTTTTATTTAGGCAGTTGAGAAGTGGACATGAATAAAGGGCATTTCAGGCAAGGGGGCAAATAAAAGCAAATCCATGGTGCTGGGAAACTGCTATTGCAGAATGGAAAGCGTGAGTTTGGGAGCAGCAAGCGATGTAGCTGGTAGGACGAACAGTGATTTGAATGTCTCTTTTTCCAATCAATTGAACAAGCCTTGGTTAAAGGTATTTTAGATGAAGATAATCTAAACCTTCAACAACAGGAACAACAGGGCATTGGTTAGAGATACAATGAAATACTGAGACCAAAAATGATTCTGGAAAAGACTAGGTGGAAGAAAGGAAGAAAGAGAAAGGAGGGAGGAAAGGAGAGAGGAGGGAGAGAGAGAGGAAAGAAGAAAGACGGAAAGAGAAAGGAAGGAAGGACGGAAGGAAAGAAAGAAGGAAGGAGAGAGAGGGAAGAGGAAGGGAGGGAGGAAGCAAAGAAGGAAGAAAAAAATAATCAGGAAGCAAGAAGGAAGAAAAAAAATAATCAGGAGCCTGACTTATTGGTTTACCTCAGTCTTCCAGAAACCCAAATGCAGTTGTTGTTTTTAGTTGCTTCACGTAGGCTCCAACTCGGGGCAACCTTATGTATCACAGAAAGAAACCTTGCCAGGTTCTGCACCATCTTAAGCATCATTGGTATGTTTGGTTCCATTGTTATGGCTATTGTATCGCTCCATCTTACTGGGAGTTTCCCTTGTTTTCTCTGACCCTCTGCTTTACCAAACATCATGTCCTTTTCTAGTGATTGATCTTTCCTGATGAAGTGTCCAAAGTATGCAAGCCAAACCTAAATGTGTGTCTTCAGTGTTTCTCTACTGATTTCTCTGTGAAAGGCACTGTTAAGGAATAATTCTACAGACGTCTTCCCTTCTCCCTAACAGAACTTCAGTTTTTATTAGGGCAGCAAGGTGTCTAGCCTTAGATGCTCACTTTCACAGTCTATCTGGGTGATGTGGTGATGGAATTCAGGCCAACGACTTGGCGGTGAAGGAGTGGATTCTGGGAAATATTTTTTTCTCTATGAAAAAAAAAAAATAGAAGTTTCCTTTCCCACTGGGACTCTTCTTCCTGTCTTGAGTGTAGTTTGTAATGATATGATTTTTGGAGAGATGGCAGCCATCTTGTAATCATGCAGTGACAAGTCTATTTAGAGCTCAGTACCGGGCAGAATGCAGGGATATAAAAGAAATAGAAGCTATGGTCCTTGAGCCCAAAGAGCCTATAATAAAGGGTGTCAAGACATGCACACATGAATTAACTTGAGAACAATTACAAAGCAACTTACAGTATTACCCAGTGCCAAATAACATAGAGCTGATGGCAGCTGTCCAGAATTCACCATTAGTAATTTTGTCCTGCCAATGCTTTTGCCAATCCAGCTAAACTGGTGAAGTTTTTAGGAAAGATGTGACATTTAGAGAAGACTGTAGTCTCAAATTCTTAGATTTCTTAAACACATTGCTGCTCCTGTTTGGTTGTACAAACGGTTTGCACTCAACGCCTAACCTAAAGGTTGGTAGTTCAAACCCACGTAGTAACACCATGGAGGAAAGTCCTCGTGATCTGCTTCCATAAAGATTACAGACAAGAAAACCCTATGGAGCAGTTCTATTCTATAACACATGGGGTTGCCATGAGTGGGAATCGACTTACTGGTTTTAATGACTTTCATTCAAAAAGGAAAAATAGTATCCAAAAGGCACTGGATTCAACATTGGGTTTTAGTATTAGTAAATCTACTTAACAGCTGTGGGACATTATGAAGGTCACTTAAACACCTCAAATCTTGGATCCCTAATTTGTAAATTGGGAATAGGGGTTCATTTGACAAATATTTACCGAACACTGAATAAATTTTGGACTGTTTCAGGTGATAGGGATATAGCAGTGAACAAAAGAGACAAAGCCCCTGCACTCATAGAAGGCAGACATATGATAAACAAATATTTACTGTATCAATGTATAAGTAGCAAGTCTCATGAAGAAACATAAAGTAGGGTAAAGAGAACAGAGAGTATTGCAGGTGAGTGGGGAAGGGAGTTGCTGTTTTATACAGAGTGGTCAAGAAAATTTCTTTGATAAGATGTTTATATTTCCTTCCTCACGTGGTATGGGATGTGCGTGTGTGTGTGTGTGCGCGCGCGCGCGAGAGAGAGAGAGAGTTTGTACATACACTGCCTGTTTTCTGCGGGCAAAGGAGAGGAAGTGAAATGTGCTTGGTAAAATTTTCACACCGTGTAAAAGTAAGTCATTTTTATTATTGTTAAGGATCAAGTCTAAACTTCTCAGCTTGACATTTAAGATCCGTCACAACACAGTCTTCCAACCTACCTTTCCAGTTTTACCTCCACTCCCCTGTATAAACCAAACTTTCAAATAAAATTTTCACCTTGTCTGATTCACTTGACAATTAATCATTCACCATCTCACAATGCTCCTATTGTTTCTTCTGTTTAAATCTTTTATTTTTTTCAGTTTTCATAAATTCTGTGTCCCCCAATGAAACGATAAACTTATGTATGTCAGAGGCTTTATATAAATGCCTGGAGCATAAAAAATGTTCAATAGTATTTATTGATTTAGTTTGACATACTGGTATAATGCTTATCATCACTCTGAAAACCATCATTATGTTTGGAAATTAGTGCTATACTCAACTTTACATGAGTTTTGGATTGCCTTATTTACCATGGAACAGTGTTTGAGGCACAGAATTCTGAAAAATTTTATATTGCTAACGAGGGCCATTAACTGTGCTTACGATTTCCCTTAAGGATCACCTCAGTGTTGATCAGAGCAATAAACAGCGCATAATCCTATGTGCCCCCATTCATGACGTTGGGGTATTTCTTGCCAGTATGCACTTGTTATTGATGTCTCTTGAATACTTTTGCATGAATTTTTAGTTGAAAGAACTTCCCAGCAGTCTGAGAAATCAAGCAGAAGAGAAGGGTGAGTGTGGTATATTAGCAACCATAGGATAAATACAAAATGTGATATTTTGTCCCTAAAGATGCCCATGTCCTAGTCCCTGTAACCTGTGAATGTTACCTTACATGACACAAAAATACTTTCTAGATGTGATTAAGTCAAGGATCTAGAGATGGGAGACAATCCTGGATTATCTGGGTGGGTTCAATCTAATCACAAGGGTCCTTATAAGAGGGAGGCAGGAGGTACAGAGTCTGAGAAGGAGATGAGATGACAGAAGTAGAGGTTGGAGTGATACGGTCACAAGTTAAAAAGTACAGGCAGCCTTGGAAGCTAGAAAAGGCTAGGAACAGAGTCTTCCCTCAGAGCCTCGAGAAGGAAAGTGCCACCTTGCTGATACTTCTATTTTAGCCCTGTAAATTCCATTTTTAGACTTCCGACTTTGAGAACTGTAAGACAGTAAATCTGTATTATATTAAGCTACTATGTTTATGGTAATTTGTTACAGCAGCAATAGGCAACTAATACAGTGGTATCGAAAAACCATCCTGAATTAGAGATCTATCACAATCCAACACCTACCACATACTAATTTTTAATCTTAGAAAAATCACTCTACTTCAGTTTCCCTTCCTATAAAGTGAGATCACACTTGCCTTACAGTGTTGTTATGAAGACAGATGAAATTACTCATGTAAGCACTTTTTGTAAAGTGTTTTGTGCTATACAAATGTAAAGTGTGAAACTTGAAGGGTTTTTTGACAAAGGGGAGAACTGAAATAACATCTGAAAGGCTAAATACTACACTATAAGCATTCCTGAAACAAACATATTGTTTTAGAAGTGGCCTAGTGCAAGGTTGGCCACCCAACACATGTGTCACTATCTTCCTTCCATCAACATGGCTAATATATTGCAGCATTCTTTGACAAAGAGCCAAGACACAGCCTCGGAATCCTTAACTCACCTTCAGGAAGTTGCTATCAATCAATTCTACTGGCATAAAAGAAGAAATTTATTTAAAATTTGTGGTCTAGTCATTTAGCAAGTTGGTTTTCTTGACTGGTAGCATGGGTATCATCTGTAAAACTGTTAGAAATGCAGATTCTGAGGCCCAGACCACACCTAAATCGGACTTCACATTTTAGCAAGATCCCCAGGTGAGTCCAGTGTGCTGTTTTAGAGAATATATTTTGGACTGGTTTGAATCCTAGTTGTACAGGTTACCATTGTGTGACCTCAGGCGTGTCTAAACCATCTAAGTATCAGTTTCTTCATCTGTGAAGCGGGAATTATATCTACCTCATTGGGTTGTTTCGAGAATCAGAAGAGCAACTGCAAATAGGGCATTTGCAGAGTGTCTGCCAGTAATACTCAGTTAATAATAGTTCTTTTTTATTGTATCATTTTGCACCATCTACAGCTGCTAATGTTACTACACATCCATTCAGCTTTGCTGTAGCCTTTCAGCAGGGACATTTGCCAAAGCCATCCACACCCATGGAGGAGCGGAGGAAGGAACACTGTCGGCAATGCAGTCTCCAAATACACAGGGCAGTGTACATTTTACAACACACATTAAACGTCCGGTGGTCTCCTTGCTTTCAGATCTTCGCTGCACGTGACTTCGAGACCGTTGGCTGGAGTCTAGTCTAGTAACCTGTGGGAGGGAGCAAGGGCCAGAATTCCTGCTGAGTAGTTCTCAGGCCCCCAGCCCTGTTCCTTAATCCCTTTCTTAAGTTTCCATCTGTGGCTGGTCTCCTTGCAGCAGAAGCACAACCTGCCAGCTCTGCCCAGCTCCCCCGTCTGGCGCGCAGCAGCCGCCGCTGCAACATTTCCCCCGGGGCCCGGGAAGGCGTGGGAGGGGGTTCGTGGGGGCGGAGCTCGGCGTCCTGCTGCTGCCGCCGCTGCCGCCGCTGCCGCTTCTGCCGCCGCTGCCGCCTGCAAAACTGCCTCCCCTTCCTCTGATGCCCAGGCAGGGCAGCGCTGCTCCTGGTGGACAGACGGGCGCACCCTGGGCCTAACGGATGCACCGTCAAGCACGTGAACTCCCGCCTCCAATTTGGCTCTGTGCCGGACGGCGGCGGCGGCTGCAGCCCCGCTGTGGAGGCCTCCCGGTGGTCTCCGCCCGGCTCTTAAACGCAGCCTTTGCTCTTTGCACAGTAATTTCAGTTCCTGCACGCACCAGCGAGCCTTCGGTGTGGCGCCGAGAGCCCGTGGTTGAGATATGAGACGGGAATCACCCGCCACAGCGCAGGCAGTGACCCCGCCGCACTGGGAAGAGCCGAGCGAGAGCAGGTAAGCGACCGGCGGCCACGGGAGGAGACGCCCCCCTCGCCACCACAGCCCGGCGTCCAACCCCGGGGGACAGGAGCTCTGCGGTGTGCTCCGAACTGATGGGGGATGGATTCAGTCTCACATTTTGCTTGGTGATCCTTTGCCTGTTGCTCTTGTCCCCATCCAATCCTGCAATCCAGGAGGGGCTGTCTTCCTCGCAGGTGATGAATTTCTCTGCAAGGTCATTCCTCCCTTAGACTCTGGCTTTGAAGGTAAATGGGAGAAGTCGCCTGATGTTCTTGGGCTGGGATTTTTAATCAGTCGGGTCTGCACACTTGTGCATATTCATATAGGTGTGTGTTTGTGTTTGACAATACTTCACTAGCATTTTGCTACGCTTATTCCCCTTAAGGTCAAAACACTATAGACAAAATATGTATGCGTGTGTATGTGTATATGTATGTGTAATATATACATACATATGTATATACATATGTATAGTTTTTCTTGAGGTGGGAGGAGGGAGAAGAGGAAGGGCGGGCAGAGGCTGATAAGGGGAAATCGCTGTAGAGACCTGTTCAATGTCTAGAGGTGAACTTTGGAACCACATTAAAACAGGGTAGAGACTACAGGCTATGAACGGTTCTTTAGAATTGGATTTTTGAAAAGCCCTGAAGAGGACTGTCAGCGAATACACACAGCAGATCTTCGTGCTCTCCAGGCAGATGGAAAAGATGTAGGGAAAATTTCAGACGCAACAATGGTCAGTGAAAGAAGGAGGAAAGGGGGGTACTTAATAGACATTGGGAAGTGAATTTTTGGTGTTCGGTAAGGCAGCAAACCCCTGGATGGGTTTAAAGGGCCTGGGAGGGCACTACAAGAAATCTCTGCTTGGGGTGGAGGCAGTTCAAGGTTAAGATGATGAGAATGTCCAGAAAGCAGGAGAGGAAGTGGGAAAAGGCAAAGGTTGGAGGGGGAGGGGAGAAACAAAGCTCTGAGTAGTCACCCGAGAAGCAACCACCTTTGTTAAGTATCTTCTTCCTCCTGTTAAAGCAAGACTTGGACACGATCCATCTCAATATTTTTCACAACACAGTTGTTAAAGACCCATTGGTCCATGTTCTCATTTTGTTTTTGCAAGGAATCTGGGTCGTGGCGGGACTGGAAGAAACTAAAGTGTTTACAGCACCAGCAAGATTTGAAGAGAGAGTTGATTAAGGCTTAGCTTCATGAAATATTTACACATCTCTTGCGTGGGCTTTTGTTTGCTCTTGTTGGTGCTGCTGCATATTTTACTTTGATAATGCTTTGAGTGTACTTCTACTGAATGTGCTTATTTTCCAGTTATAAACTATTCTTTCTTTTCCATTGTGTTCACCGTTGGCCTGCCTTGAGTAACAACTGTGGGAATAAAGATCCATGAGTCACAGCATAAAGAAAAAAAATCCTCTCTGTTGCTATCTGCAAATGGCAGGAGTTGGTATTAGAGAATGTTCTTTTGAAATACAATCCTGATGATTTTTCAAGGTTTTCCCCTTTGGTGGGATGAATAGGTTGTTGATCATAAACAGGAGGAAAAAAAGTAGTAATTGCCATTGCAAGTCTAGATATCATAACATATAAATTTATTTTGTAAACAGCAGAGGAACTCATGGAGAACCATGTACGGTGTGTTTTCAGTGTTCTGTTGTACATTTTTAAGGGAACATTTAGGAACCTAGTGAAATAAGTGGTGAGGCTTAACATAATCACCAACTAGGCTTTTATGAAAATGATCAGAACAAAATAGCAGGTGCATCAGCTTCAATGGGAAGTGGAGGACTGAAGCATTATATCAATCAGTTCAGTCTCAACTGGAGAATGGAGTGGGTTCTCACAAGCTGTTTTGAAATTTGTGGGATTTTTTAATTGCCTCAAAAGACGTGCCCAATACACTTACTTATCCCTATAACATTTCCTGGATTATGCCACAGATATACTTGAAGGAATATATTTAGATACAGCTATGCTTCACTGTTTGAATTTCAGTCACAAAATCTGCAGCCTGTTGGCAAGCACTATAAAATATCAGCCATGGAATCACGGAATCATAAAATACTGGCATCAGAGTGTCGGGACACACAATTCTAGTCCCAGCTCATACTTGAGCTTTTTCAGTGGCTGCTATGTCTGCCCTTCGTGCATTCATTTGTTATTTTATTCACTTGTTCATTCATGCATTCAACATATATTTATCCTGAAGTAGGCATGGTCCTCGATTGTGGGATAGAAGAGTGAACGAGACGCAGTCTCACATGGCAAAACTTGGGAGGGAGACTGACAGTAACAGTCCACTGAGTGCTGTGACAGGATGAGCAGAGGGTGCTCTGGAAGGCAGGTACATGCTGGATTATGATGTGAAATGTTTGTCTTACTGTGCATCATGTCCCCAAAAGCTCAAAAGCTCCTGCCTAAAGGGACACAGAGAAGTATAAGAGATGTTCCTGGTTTGTAAGACTCCAAGACCCATCTTGATCTGATATACAAGCATATATGCAATATTTTGAATAGCACGTGTTGAGACAGGCAAGATATTACGACTTACTAAGGAGATGGCAGGAAAATCAGAGGAGAGGGAGATACTTGGGGACTGGATTAGTCTAGAAAGGCTTCAAGGAGGAAGATGGAACTTAAGCTATGCTCTGAAAGATAGATAGGATCTGGGTGGGCAGTGAGGAAGGAATGGTGATATAGAATGAGGAAGTAAAGAATAGAGGTGAGGTAATGTGAGTTATATTTAAGAATCATTTAGAAAAGAAAACACGAATATCGAGTTGGGGAAAGAGAACTGCAGCAAAATTTCTGTTTAGGCTGAAATACTACTTAAGGGTGGCTTATATCTAAGATTTCTTTTCCTAATACTGCTACTTTAAGAAAATCTAGCCAGAATGGCCATAACATCATAAATCGGCCATTTCCTGCCATCTTTTTATTTCTTTTGCAATTATTTACTGGCTGGGCCCTGTTTCAATTGAATTTGACGGTTGAACTTTTGAAATTACGTGATACACCACAATGCAGCATGATTATTTCATTTCTCAGAACACAGCTGTGATCATTGGCACAGAGGGGCAAGGGTGATGAGGTGATTGTCGTAAATTCAGCAGACCGTTTTCTTCTCTTCAGCAAGCCTCCTATCTTGGATGGTAGCTTCTGCTGTTGGGTATGTTTTCTTTTTCTCAGCTCTTGTATGATTTACCATCATCTTAGTTTCACAGGTTTCCCCTGCTGTCCAAAAATAGAGCATTCTCATGAGACCTTTTGTAAGCCAAGAGGGCATAAAGAGACAATCACCAGTAATTTATATGAGAAAAATTTTTGAACATTCCCATACCCAAAAAATAACCTACCACATCATACCAAGTAACATATAAAACCTAAAATAACACCAACAAAGCTATGGTGGCTTGATGCTGAGATGCTGAATGTAGCTCCCAGGGAAGGAGCTTGGTGGTACCAGTCTCCATGCTTAGGGTGCAAGCTGCAAGACAAACCCTGAACACTATTTCTGCTTTTTTTTTGTGAAAGCGAAAATCCTCTTGGGATTTCTTTCCATTAGCGAAAACAGCTACTAATGCAGGTCTTTCGTAAAAGCGAAGTGGTGTAAAGACACTCGTATTTAAATATATATTTATTTAAATATATTTGTAAGAATTTCTCGAAATTAATATTAGAGTGTTTTATTATAGCCTAAAAGTTATTTTGAGGAAACTATTAGGAAGTCAGAGAAGAAAAAGTATTTGTATTTCTGAGAACTTTTTTCGATGGACTTTTTCAGCTCTTGCTGTCTTTCCAATGGAATAAAATAATGTTATGGTATGCATAGCTTTTTAAATAAAGCTATGCTTTTAACCAGAAAAACGGTACTAGTTAAAATATAGACTTATCTGCAGTTGATTTGGAATGAAATCAAGTATGAATATTCACTTTTTTTAATAAAGTTTTCTTGGACTCCTCGCTCATCTTTCTTCCTCACATCAGTGGTTAGCTTAGTGATAATCTAATGTTTTTGCATAGGAGTCCTCAGGAATAATAAAAACATTTATTATAAATATGTGTATATATTATTATTATTAAATATTTATTTTGAACAATAAAAGCATTATTATAACATTACTATCTTGAATGCAGGTGAGAACATTTTTCACAGCTTGTTAGCGGGGCAAGTTGGAGTTGGCAACACAGTAACCGCTTTCTAATTGTTCATGTTTTAAATTAGATTGTCGGTTTTATTTTGAAGCTAGCAGCATAATTTGGAGCCCAGATTATTATTACCAGGCGGTTTAACTAACTCTTGGCTAGAGGTTTAAATGCTCTGACCTGTTGAATCAGAATAAGAATCTGAAGGTGGGACTTAGAAATCTGTATTTTTATAAAGTTTCCAAAGGATTCAGGTTTTGACACCGCTGCTTTGTCGAAGCCTTTATTTATAAGGAAATAAAACATACAAATGATTTCCAGAGAAGTTAAATAACTTGCCCTAAGTCACTGTTAGAGCTGGGGCTAAAATCTGGAACTCCTCTTTCCAACATACCACTGATTCTCTGGCTGGAAGGGAGGAAGGGCATGACCTGAAGAGAATATCCCAGAGTCCATTGAGTGGGTGGGGGAGGAGAATCCTCCAAAACTGAGAGTCAATGCAGCAAGCCTTTCGTAATTACAGGAGTGATCTCTGTCCCAAGGGTCTCATGTGGCAGAAGAACTGAAACAATCAGCTGTGTCATCTGAGGCAAGAGTGTTTCTTGGCTTGACACACCAGATTCAGTTTAAAAATTCTAATTACTGGATCCTAAACGGAGTAGATACCCAAGTCATCCCTAGGAATATGCCTTCATCCGCATTCACATCCTGGTGACACTTGCAGGACCAAACCCTGAAAAGAACCGGAGGCAGGAGAGTAAAACCCCACAAAGTCACAGGCGTCTCCGGGGACCCAAGCATTATTGCTTATTCTGTAAGGGACAGCTGGACAGAGATATCCA